CCACCAGGGAGGTGACAACCAGAGCTCTGCGTGGGGACTCACGCGTGGCGGCCTGAGGGAGGTCATGAGGTGTGTGATCAGGGGCCCCATCAGACCTCTACCGCGGAGGTCTTGTTACAGCCCCCTCTCCCCTGGTTTTCCTGCAGATGCCGGGGCAGGTTCTTACTGTGTCACTGGCCTGCGGTTCAACAAGGACTTAATCTTTGCTCCTGTATTTTCTGTGGCACTGGAGGCTGAACCCAGGGGCGCTTTACCACTGAGCTACACCCCAGCTCCTTTTCTTTGTTTTTTTAAATATTTATTTTTTAGTTGTAGTTGGACATAGTGCCTTTATTTTATTTATTTACTTTTATGTGGTGCTGAGGATTGAACCCAGGGCCTCGCACGTGCCAGGCAGCGCTCTACCGCTGAGCCACAACCCCAGCACCGCCCCACCCCCACCCCAGCTCCTTTTATATTTAATTTTGTCAATTTGTCCAGGCTGGCCTTGGCTTTGCGATCCTCCTGCCTCAGCCTCCCGAGTCAGGGCTGCACAGAGCTAGAGTCTGAATTATGAGCATGCGCCATCGTGCCTGGTGGCTGGGCACATTTTGCAAGAACACTTGTCAATAAAAGGACAGACAAAAAATAAAAAGTGACAGAGTTTGCTCAGGGCACGGGAGGAAAGGGGGAGAGGGACACATTCAAGAGGCCATTTTAAAGATGTGGCGTCCAGCAGAGGTGACAGTTCCTTGGAGATGCAGGTCCTGGAAGGTGCTTGCTCCCCTGCCATCCTGACGTGAGGGAGTTAAACTGATTTTGCTTTGGGGATATGCTGATCTGGTTTCCCTGGCAACACTGCTTGGGCTGAGAGAGGGTGAGACAGAAAGACTGGAATGGAGACCCACCTGCAGTGCCCTCAGCTCCCGGTTGTAACCCACGGGAGAAAACACCCCCAATCCTTTCTTAGTTGGGGGTCCAGGGAACATTGCATTACATTCTCTGCAAGTCTTTGGTCTCAAGTCCCCTCAAATTATTTTTTTTTAAATTATTTTTGTACTGGGGGTTGAACTCAGGGGTGCTTAACCACGGAGCCACATCCCCATCCCACCCCCTTTTTAAATTTTGAGGCACGGTCTTGCTAAGTTGCTGAGGATCTCCCTGAGTTGCTGAGTCTGGCTTTGAAGTTGCAATCCTCCTGCCTCAGCCTCCCAAGCCACTGGGATTACAGGCATGCACCACCACGCCCAGCTCAAATTATTAGAAATTTATAAAGGAAAAGCATTTGAAGATATTTAATCAGTACAAGATATGTCTGTTTTGCAAAAATGAAATACTGCTTAGAGATTCTCTTTAAATACTTTAGAATTTTTGTGCTCAAATATATTTTCTGTTCATTTGTGCTTTGGTCTAGATTCATTAAAAAAAAATCCAGACTTAGTCAAGTATATTTGATCCTGTCAAAAATGATATCTTTGTTATTAAAAATTTGATTGCACAAAAATTATCAAGAAGTTTTAAGAGTTTTTATTTATGTGGTTTTTATCTGTCCACATTTGCCTTATTTGTTTATAACTCTTTGAAAAATAGCAGTAACATGTTACATATTCATGTATATGAATTTATTATTATTATTATTATTATTATTATTTGGTACTAGGGATTAAACCCAGGGACACTTAACCACTGGGCCACATCTCCAGCTCTTTTTTTTAAAAAAAAATTTTTAATTGTAGATGGACGCAATGCCTTTATTTTATTAATTTATTTTTATGTGGTGCTGAAGATCTAACCCCCGTGCCTCACACATGCTAGGCGAGCGCTCTACCACTGAGCTACAGCCCCAGCCCCCAGCTCTGTTTATTTTTTATTTTGAGACAGGGTCTCGAAAAGTTGCTTAGGGCCTTGCTAAGTTGCTGAGGCTGGCCTCAAACTTGCAATCCTCCTGCCTCAGCCTCTGGGTTACTGGTATTACAGGTGTGCACCACCACAACCAACAACAGACATATTTTTCTTTCTTTGTTTAATTTATTGATATTAATTTTATTCCATTTTTTTAAATATTGTAAACTTTGACTCATCGGGATTACTTACATGTACATTCTTTCAAATTGATCAGCATTTATAATTCCCTTTAAGAAGAATTGACCAAAACAAATGTGAAACTCTATTTATTCATTTAATTTGTAACATAAACATATTTCATTTTGATGATATCTATTCATAAATATGAAAAACTAAGTAAGTTTTTGCTTCACACAAAAAGTTGTACTAATTGCAACTCAGATATTTGGGATGTCATGTCCTGCATCTTACATCTTCCCAATTATTTCAAGTTCCATTATATTTTCAAATTACTTAGCAGATGATTGATTCTAATCTGAGGCAGAACATCTACCAACCTTTCTAAGATTACCTCTAAAATCATTCACATCGATACTCCTTGAAATGTTGACGATATCATGGAAAGGATATGACTCGTCAAAAAGTCATTCTTAGAAAAAACCCTTTTTCCTTTTTACGTATCTGCTGCAGTTTATGATAATGAAAACAGGGAAGAGGAACTTCTTAGGAGCACATTTAGATTCCAGACATATCATACTTTACAAGTGTTGTGTTATTCAACCTTAATAGCAGGATTATGATCTTGATGACTAGATGTATTTTTCGAGACAAAAAAAGGATTCAGGAGAAGACTGGCACGTTCTCTTTTAACAGTTTTGCAAATCTTTCATGTCTGACTCAACAGTCCTTCTACCTGCTTCTTCTGTCAGTTGCAATGTCAGACACCGTGTAGGTTCTGGAAAATTCCACTGAAGGCTGGTAAGAGTGAAAAGACCAATGATGGCACCTCCCCTTCCCCTATTATGAAAATAGGTTAGACCTCAGGGACTCCCTGAAATGGCCTGGGGTCCCCTGGGCCACCACACTTTGAGAATCCCTGCTCCTACCGGGCGAGCACCAGTTAAAGGGACTTGATTTCCCCACTTCAAACGCAGAAAGAGGGAAAGAATTTTGCAAAACGTTTCATGTGCCCTTTTCTCCCAGCTGCTCCCACAGGAAACTTAGAGGCAGCAGGTCCCATCTCTGTCCGGGAGGAGATCACCGCCACCACCAGGGGAAATGTCAAGGGAGGGGGTGAGACAGGACATTTGGGTCCAGTCTGTCCTTATCCTCTGCCCTGGAACTTGTCAACCACAGGGACCCTCAGCTTCTTGAATGCCGCACGACTCCTTCAGCATGTTTCAGTCTCTAATTCTCTTTTTGGCTTCTGAAACCAAGACACCCCCACCCAGCCCTGCTCGTCACCTCACCCACCAGGAGAGAGATGAATGGGGCAGAGCAGTCAGAAAGCAGGGGAAGAGGATCAAAGGTCACACCTGCCTTCCACCGACCCAGGGGTTTAAGAGAAGCAAGAAAAGGAGTTGGTTGGACTGTAACATGGAGGATGGGGGGGGGGGGGGGCTCTAGGTGTCTGTGTGAAACAGAGAGAGCTTCCGGGCTGAGCTCCTTGCAAGCAGAAGTTTCACCTATGTGAGTGCCGGTGGCTTGTGAGACACGGGGCAAGTCACAGTTCAGGACCCACCTGGGCATTGGATATCCCTGGACCACCCTTGAATGCAGCAAGTTCCCAGGTCACTGTGACAACCCAAAGCGCCCCTCTTCTCTGCCAGGTGTCTGTATCATAGCCCACTCCCAGGGGGTCAGACTGCCTCGCGAAGAAGCCCTGAGACACACTTCAGGCAGGGGACTTCCGCGGGCCCCTAGTGTTAGGTGCCAGGGCGGTGACTACAAAGCGCCACGGTGTGGGTGGTTTAAAGAGGAGGAACCCACTGTGGTCGGACAGCCCAGAGCAGCGGGCGGCCAGGGCTGGCTTCTGGAGCAGAGTTCTCCTTGGTTGAGACCTGCCTTCCTGCTGTCTTCAGAGGCTCTTCCTCTGCACATGCTCAAGGAGGGGGGGGCGGGCTCTGGAGCCCTTCCCACTGAGACCACCCCCCACCCCCCCCCCCCCCCCCCCAGGTTTTGCTTTTTATTTAGAGACAGGGTCTCACTGAGCTGCTTAGGGCCTCAGTAAGTTGCCGAGGCTGGCTTTGAACTTGCAATCCTTCTGCCTCCGCCTCCAGAGCCGCTGGGATTACAGGCGTGGACCATCGCGCCCTGCAACCAAGAGGTTTTCTGAGTCTGGCTTATTTCACTGAAGATAATGCCTTCAAGATGGGGGCACAATGCACCCCTACACTTGTGGGCCTGCCTAAAAGCCAGATGCTCTCCTGGGGCAGAAGTCCTGTGCGTCCCTCTGTCCTGTCCTATGGTGGGAAGGAAACTTATTTCCAGTCACACTCAGGGCTGGGCATGTTCCAACTCCCATGCACCTCTTCTCAAATCCTCGTGACCTCATGAAAAAGTGGGGTCACTGAGGCACAAAAAGACAAAGTGACACGCCCTGCCATGGCCAGTACCGGGCTGTCGGGGAGCATTCCCGCCACCTTTGTGGGAACTAGAATGAGGCTCTTGCTCTAAAATGAATCTTGCAAGAAGCACCCCTCAGTTACTGAAATGACTAAACACAGAGTCACTGTGTGACCCAGCTCCCCACCCCTACGTGTGTACCCAAGAGAGAAAACACAAGCCCACGCAGAAATTTCTACCCAGATATTCACAGCGGCATTATTCACAACAGCCCTAAGTAGAAAGGACCTAAGTTCTGATCAGTTGATGAATGGATAAAAAAAAATGTGGCACAGGTGTACAGTAGGACGCCATCCAGCCACGAGCGCAGTGGGCCCTGACCCAGGCGTCAGCAGGGAGGAACTTGGAGAGTGGGACACAAAGGCCACACACTGTAGTTCCACTTGGATGGATGTCCAGAACAGGTGCGTCTGTAGCCACAGACAGGAGGTCAGTAGGACTGGGGACTGGGAGAGCGAGAGGCTGATGGCTAAGGGGGGTTGAGCTTCTTCTCTGGAGTCATGAGCTTGTTCAGAAGTGGATGTGGTAGCCAGGCACATGCCTGCAACCCCATGACCCTGCTGCAGCAGGAGGATCACAAGTCCAAGGTCAGCCTGGGATGTTTATTGAGATCTTATCTCAAAATAAAACATGGCTGGGGATGCAGCTCTGTGGTAGAGCACCCCTGGGTCTCCCAGCCCTGCCCGCCCGCCCGCCCAAAGAGTGGACCGTGGTGATGTCACAACTCTGTGAAAACAGTAAAACCCATTGACCTACACACTTAAATGGGTGAGCTAGCAGGTGTACGCATCTTCATTTTCACATGAACTTCATCCACAGTCATCCTCCCTGGGCATGGAAAACTTTTTTCATTGTGATTTCCAGTTGGGTAGGGTAATTAACAACACTTGTGCTGAACATGTTCACACACACACACACACACACACACACACACACCCCTGAGAAATTCCTCAATGGCTGTGTGTGACTGTCATGCCTTTGGAATGCAGCTCTTCCAAGGGACTCATTTTGGAGAAGACAATGTGCATTGATTGCTTTGTACCATGGTGTGTGCATACGACAGCGCCTTGTGCATTTCAGGGTCAGTGAAATCTAGCCTTAAATTCACTTCGCCTGCTTCTTCTTTTTTCTTTTAATTATTTATTTTTTGTTCTAGGTGGACACAATGTCTTTATTCGCCTGCCTTTTTTTTTTTATTAACGAATCTTAGCTGTCATTTAGCATGATGCATGGAGTTATCATTCAGGGTTGGGGTGGCACTTCTGTTGGACAAGACTGCTTGTGGGAGAATAGGAATGTCCATTTCAGGATCAGAAAGGTGAAAGGAGACAAAAAAAAAAAAAAAAAAAAAAACCAGTAGGGAAAATAAGTAAGTAGTTTGGCCCAGTTGCCATGACAACCTTGCAATTACATCTCTTCCTATGTAAAAGTCAAACAAACAACAAAAACACTGCCTGAGGGAGGGGGAACCGAGGTGTCTTTGTTCTGTTTATTTATTATTTAACAAATGCTTATATAATGTAAGTGCTCCATAAATAGTTCTCCTGGTCCCTCTCCATGGAGCATGACTGTGTGTGGGCAGCCCCTCTTCCAACAGCTCCCACGGAGTTAACCTCTTTAATCCCAGGAGAGCCCTTTGAGGTAGGGACCATGGTAATTGCCATTTCACAGAGGAACAGTGAGACCATGGAAAATGCCAGAATGTTCCGCAGTTCAGCTGGGGAAACCGTTGGGATGGGGTATAAACCTAAGGATGGGGCTGCTGGGCCCCATGGAGGACAGGACAGCTTCAGGGAGTGCAAAGGATGGTGGGACCAGCGCCCGTGGGAGTGACTCTGACACTCACAGCCAAGCCATTAATTCTTCACCATGCTGTGTCTGTCGGATGATGGCAGGTTCAGACCACACGTGTGGCGTAAATGCACATGCGTGGTGAAGAACAGGAGCACACACCAGAGCGAGGCCCAGTCCTGCTGGTGCCCCGCAGGCGAGTCCTGTGCGCTCTGGTGTCAGGCGCCTGCCTCTCCTGTCGCAGCCTGGGCTCTGCACTGCACAGACACTGGGACTAAGCCTCATGTCCCCAGCGAGTCCTGGCCACACTGGATGAGGCCAGTGCCCTTGATCTAGCCTATAATCAGAGTCCCACCTGTCCCCTGGGAGGGGGGATTACACTCCCCAGGAGGCCTCTGACTCCTGAATGAGGCCGGTCCCCTCCAGTGAAGTCTGGTCCTCTGGGAACACCGCCTTGTTCTCTGATTAACGGAGCTGGTGCTTCCAGCGCCCCCATCTTCCTTCCAGGACCGCCCTTGAAGATTGGGCTGCTTCCCTTCCGCCAGGCAGACCCAGCTCCAGTGTGAAGCGTTGCTATGGAGACAGGGTCCAGCCACCAGGGGAAGAAAATGGGCAGGGTGGGGAGCGGGTGCGGGGATGGGGGGGGGCGGCAGGGGGGGGCAGTCGCAGGTGCAGTCTCAGAGGTGGCGCTGAGACCCTGCGGAGTGGAGACCAGCCGTTGATCTCAGACACCACTGTGAGTGTCGGCTCCCATGCCCCACGCCCACCTATTGCGCTGGGTGCTGCCCCCCTACACCTGGCATCCGATGGAGCCATTCGGGCTTGTGTCAGGGACAAAGGGAGACAGGAGTCGGACAAGCCAGGAGGGCAGCCAGGGAAGTCCCCTGGGGATTCTCGGATTCCCTGCCTGCCCTGGGGGGCGGGTGTGGGAGAAGACCTCGGTGTCAGATCCAGCCCGATGGCAGGTAGCAGGAGCCCTGAGCCTTGCCACATTCACTTGAACCTGAGCGCTAACCCCAGGGGGTGGCCTTCCAGAGAGCTATGGGCACGGTGTGCTGCCGCCCAGCCTGCCCGGGTGCCCTCCTGCCCCAAGATCAGCGTGGAGCCAGCAGACTATGGCCATGCTCCTTGGGCAGGACTAGTGGGGGGCTGGACATGGACGTGCACAGGGCCTGCTAGTCACCTGGGTCCCCGAGGGCCTGGAGCAGGCAGACAGGAAGCCCTCCCGAAGCCCACCGTCCTGCCCTGGGCAGGTTCAGGCTGAGCAGAGGGAGTGCCCAGAGGAAGGAGCCGGAAGCCAAGGCCACCCTGGTGGAGTCTGTGGAGGACACGGGTCACGCTGCCATCCCCAGGGAGATGGGGGCAAGGAGCAGGTCTGGAGGGTTCTGTGTGAGGACCGGGCGCAGGACACAGGAGTCCTGGGCAGATGCAACTCCTGCTGCAGGACGAGAGGCCCAGAGGCCTCCAGGGAAGGCCCAGCCCTCGCTCTGGGGAACCCAGGCTCAGGGACAGCACAGGAGGCAGGGGAGGTCAGCCCCTTGGAGGGCAGCCAGCATTGCTTGGAGGGTCAGTCTGGGTGGCAGGAACAGAGGTTGACCCGGAAGGGCAAGAAGAGGAGTCAGGGATGGCGACCTGGAAGGAGTGGGTCTGAGGACTCCTTGGAGGGAGCCTGGGCCTGGTGATAGCGGGGGACCTGAGTGGAGATCAGGATCCCAGTGCCTCAGGCCCAGCCGGGGAACTCAGTGGAAAATGGGCCTTCAGGGCTGTGGGGATGGAGCTGGACCCCTCATGTTCTTGGCTGTGATCACCTTGACAGACAAGCCAAGAGGGACTGCACCCCCGAACCCTGGGGTGCAGTGGACCTGCTTGAACACCAAGGAAGACAAGAGCAGAGTCCCCGACTTAGTGGCATACTGGCTGTGAGAGACATGTCCGAGGAGGAACTGTGGACAGGACATATTGGGGAGCCGGTTGTGGTAAAATCAGAGCTGAGAAAAGAGGAAGTAGACAGACAACCCTGAGTTCCTGACTACTGCGGTGTACACTGACCCCTGGGACCTTTCCCCTGGGAGGACAGGTTAAAAATCCCTTCCTTCTGTGATCCTGAGTTGAACCAACAAGAAAGAAAAAAAAAGAGGCCCTTCCCCAAATTGTCATTTATGTGCAAGGACACATCGGAACCCACGTGAAATCGTGGAGGAGGGAGGCCTTGGGGTGGACGCCAGCCAGAGTCCTGAGGAAGCCAAGGGGACGGGAACCTTCTGGAATGCATTTGCACTTGGCTGAGTCAGAGAACCGCCCCAAGGAGAAGAAGGCTCCGCGTGGCCTCCGATGACAGCCAAGAAGGCTCCGGGTGGCCTCCTGGATGTGGCTCAGGAGTGGAAGGAAACACGTGGGAGGGCGGGGCTCACAGAACCCACACAGGTGGCCAAGGCCACGGCCCCAGCACCCATTCGTAGAAGAAAGCTGGTTGAGGGGCTTTACCCAGAAGGATGCACCAGAAAGCAAGAGGGGCTCGCGGAGGCCAAGGGTCAGCAGCCCGCCGGCCACAAGTCGACTGGTGGGAAGAAGACGCATCTGGGGTGGGGGATGCTCCCCAAAAGCTGCTAGAGGGACCCACAGACATCAGGGCGGGGAGCGGACCTTGCCGGGCCACCGCACAGACCCAGCTGGCTCCTCTCTCCCTCCCTTCCTGGCCTCTAGTGCACCTGACCTGGCCTCCCCCCATCCCACAAGGGTCCCCAGGTTCTGTCCTGGTCTCCGCCCAACGGTGCCTCTCCACGCATGGCCCTCAGCCTCCTCCAGCTCTGCCCTCGTGGCACCCCAGAGCCACCCACCCCATCGGCCCTCACCCTGGTGCCCACCTGGGTCTTCACCCTGCATTGTGCCCTCCAGCCCTCTATGCCCAGCTCACACTTGTCCCCAAAGACCTCTATCCAGGCTTTGCCCCGGGCCTCTGCTCTGGTCCTCAGCCTGGTCCTCTGCTCTGGTCCTCAGGGCTCCTGGTAGAAGTCACATCTGACCTCTGGTCAAGCCACTCCATCTCCAAATCCTTGAAAGGCTTCTTCCTTTGTCACCGCAGTTCAGAGCCAAAGATCTTATAACTATCTGCTCTGTCTAACCGGGTAGCCGGACTTCCCTGCAGGGGTGTAATTTGAATTTAACTGTAGTTAACTTTCCTCAAATGCCACACTCCCAGGGAGGGCGCCCCTGACCACCCTATTAACAATGCAACCTTTTCTGCAGCTCCTCCCTTGACCTTCAGAGTCCGGCTGCTCCCTGCGCACTGACTTGTTCTCAATGGCACACCAGTGATGGTTGTCAGGGAGTTTAATAGAGAAATTGGTGACAAGGTACTGCTGTCAGCAGGTGCAACAAGGGCAAGTGCAGGTTGCCCAGAGGTTAGTAACTGGCAAGTGGCTGCCACCCAGAGGCTAGAGGGGCCTCGTGGGAAATGCTGCCACGTTGCTGCCCAGGTTCCCTACACAGAGCCCGTCTGTGAGGACAGTCCCAGGAGCTTGCAGCCTACCCCTGTGGCTCCCCCTCGGAGCAGCCTCCAGATATCGACCCCCTCCTCCGGCTTTCCAACCTTAGCGCCCTCTCCACACACAGCAGCCCCTGGCAAAGGGCCCTGGCAGTGGCTGCAGGGTCCTGCCTGCACCAGGGCAGGTGGGCACAGAGGGGAGGGGCAGCAGAGCCACTCAGGTCCAGCTCCCCAGGTGGAATAGGGTCTGTCCTGTCTTTGTGGTGTCCCAAGCTCCAACGCTGTGCCTGTCATGGGAAAGAGCTGACATTTGTTGAATGACTAACGGACAGAATGAACCAGGCTGGGAGAACCAGGCCACGGATGCACCAGGTGGGGAATGTTCTAGAACAGCACGGCCCCTGGAGCGAGGGAGCAGAGGGGTGTGGAGAGAGGAGCAGGTGAGGCCCAAGGAGCAGCGCCAAGGCCCTGAGGCCGGCAGGAAGCAGCACCAGGTGGGCAGCCCCCAAGGCCACCTCCTGTGTGGGTCGGGACTGCAGGGGTGTCCCGGGGGAGGTCGGTGCAGTTCACAGTCCAGGGTCCCCAGGAACCAACTTCTAGATGAGGACAAGATCCTACTTCGGAGAGCGAGGCCAGCCGGGCAGAGGAGTCCCGCCCGAGGAGGGCAAGGGAGACAGCGTTGCGCTCAGGGTGAATGGGGTGCTCTGGGTGCTCTGGGGCGCCCTGTAGAGAGGTGACCTGAGCAAAGACCCGAAGGCGGAAGGCAGGAGGCGTGGGGCGGGTGGCCCCTGGAAAGCGCAGGACAGAAGCGGGAACAGCCAGGGTTAAAGCCCAAGCCAGGCTGTGGCTATCGGGGTTTGTAAACATGGAATCACTGGCCCCTCACCTGCCAGGCACAGTGCAGAGGGAGACGTGTCACCCAAACAAGCCACCTGCCTCCGGATGTGTGTGCGGGGTGTCGGAGTCTAGTTGAAATGCAGTTCAGAAGGAGAATTTAGAATGGAAGCCAGCGTGCGCACTACAGGGAGCTGAGCTGGCACCCTGGGCAGAAAGACCGGGTCCCCCAGGGTGGGGTTGTGGGGACCACAGGAAGTGAGCGAATCAATTTTCAGGGAGACTGGCTCCACCCCACCCTCCCCTGGCAGGCTGAGTGTCCAGGTGTTCGTGCACCCCTGCCTGAATCTGTTTCCGGGTGGACCTGGGGATGCCTACATTAGGGGGTGTTGCCGTCTGTACCCCACCAGACCTGCTTTGCCCTGCAGGCTGCCTGCCGGCACTGAAACTCCGGGGGAAAAGGAGTTCGCCAGAGAGACCTGGTTTATTGGAGAGTCAAGCGTGAAGATGGAGAGCAGGTCTCAAACCTGCCCCCCAAAGCTCCAGTTCAGGGGTGTTCATGGGATAAAGAAGCAGGGTCTGGGGGGGATTGGAGGTGAGAACATCTGTTGCCTTCCCATACATAACAACCTTTGTGGGCTGGGGATGTGGCTCAAGTGGTAGCGCGCTTGCCTGGCATGCGTGCGGCCCGGGTTCGATCCTCAGCACCACATACAAACAAAGATGTTGTGTCCGCCGAGAACTGAAAAATAAATATTAAAATTCGCTCTCTCTCTCTCTCAAAACAAAACAAAACAAAAAAACAAACAAAAACCCAGCCTTTGTGGCTCCCTGTAGGACGCGGGTCCAGGAATGGCGTGACCTTAGAGGTTTTCAGCCATTTGAGAGCAAACACATTGCCCATCAGACAGACACCGGGGCCCAACACAGGCGGGGTCTCCCTGTGTTGCCCAGGCTGGCCCTGGACTCCTAGGCTCAAGCCACCCTCCCACCTCAGCTCCTGAGAACTGGGACTGCAGGCAGATGAGGCTTTTTCAATTTTCTCTTGGTTTCATGGCTGGGTGTCTTTATTTGGTTCTGGAGAGAGAAGAGCAGGTTTGGGCCAATAGGATGAGGGCAGGTTTTCACGCCTAGTTCCCAGGTAAAGAATCAGGCTTAGAGAAGCAGGGGAGGTTGCTGAACGCCAGTTTGTCCTGCTCCAAGGACCCCTCTGGATCTGGGGAAGACTCCATCAACCTGGAGCAGGACTTCTTCCTCGTCCCTCGGCCGGCTCAAGCGGGGAGGGGGGGTCACATGACTTCCAGGCGTGAAGCGGTGTTCCAGATCTGGTTCTAGAACTGCCGGAGGGAAGAGGGAAGAGTGACAGCCAAGGACTGTCCCCACCGCTGTGGCGCCCCGGGTCTCCAGCGCCCTCAAGAGCCAGAGCGAGCTGCGGCTCCCGTAGTGCCCATCAGGGGGCGCTCCACGACCGCTGGTTTAAAGCACACGGGGGCCGCGCTCCCCCTGGTCTCAGATGCCAGGCTGCTTTGGGGTGGGGGCGGGTGACCGTGCAGGCGCCACGCGAAAACCCTTGGATTCTCAACAATACGGAACACCCGGTTACTGTCTCGGGTTACCCAAGGGATCCTTCCACCTCTGGGGCCTCGTTGGAGGCCCACCCTGAGGATGCTGGGGACAGAAGGGCACTGGAGGGAGGGACAAGCTGAGACTCAGTGGGGGACAGATTTCAGAGCTACTCAGAAGGCTGTAAAAATAGGCCCCAGGAGGAGTGTGTGAAAGCGTAATTGTCTCGAGTTTTGTGATTGTGTGTGTGTGCACAAGTCCAGCCGAGTGTGTGCACATCCTGTGCATGGGTGTAAAGGTTGACATTTGTGGGCTGGGGTGGTGGCTCTGCGGTGGATCACTTGCCTAGCACGTGGGAGGCCCTGGGTTGATCCTCAGCACCACATAAAAACAAATAAAGGTACTGTGTCCAACTACAAATAATCAAATAAATATATTTAAAAGGGCTGGGGATGTGGCTCAAGCAGTAGCGCGCTTGCCTGGCATGCATGCGGCCCGTGTTCGATCCTCAGCACCACATACAAACAAAGATGTTGTGTCTGCCGAAAACTAAAAAATAAATATTAAAAATTCTCTCTCTCGCTCTTTAAAAAAAAATAAATAAAAAGAGCTGGGGATGTAGCTCTGTGGTAAAGCACCCCTGGGCTCAATCTCCTATGTTAAAAAAAAATTATATATTTAAAAAAAAAAAGTTGACATTTGTGAGTGTGGCAGGGAATGTGTGAGGGGCCTCTCGTGTGTCCATGGGGCCCAGCAGGTCTGTGTGTCCGAGGGTATGTGTGGGCTCACATTTGTGTCCATGGGTCTGTGCATGTCAGCTGGGGGTTTAAGGTGTTTGTGCGGATCTGCGTGTGTCGGGCAGGAGTTGGTCATCGTGGTGTTCATCTGGGTCTGTGTGTGCACGCACACTTGTGGCGGTGACGAGGGTGTGACCCAGTGTCGCCAAAAGGACCTGATGACTATGAAATCCAGCTTCACATCAAATCCATCTTGCCTGTTGTTAGGGCCAACAAGCCTTTCCCTTCAAGGACCCCACTGACCCCCAAGACCCACTGAGCTCTGGGTACTTCAGGGACAGGCGGGCAGCGCCGGGGTTGGCTGGAGACCCATCACAGCATCTGTTCCTTCTGAGATTTCTTCCAGGGTCTCTCTGGGACCCTGCTGTTCCCTTTTACCTTCCAACTGCTCAGGTCCCTACGGCCTTGAGACCACTGTCCTCCCAACTTGGCATCCACAAAGGACAGTCCCACCACCCCGCAGACCTGGTATGGAGGGCACTGCTCAGTGGCTCCCGACACCTGTCCACCTCACCAAGCCCACCCTCCAGGCAGGGCCGCACCTGTCCATTCTCCCAAACCTCTGGGGCCTCTTTCTAGTCAGGCTGAGCTGTGAACAAAAGGCCAAGTCCATGCCCAAGGGCCACTCAGGGCTCTGTGTGCTACCACCAGTGACCA